ACCAGATTTAACTGTAGCTTTAATTCCAGTGCTGATGTAAACCTTTAAAGCAAAGGAGGGCAACTCATGTTTCAAGTTCATATGCAGCCCTGAGCTTTCTCTCCTTCCTTCTGTGAAGACCAGTGTTTCTCAACCATGGCAACTTGAAGATGTGTGGACTTCAACTCCCACAATTCCCCAGCCAGCATGGAATTCTGGGAGTTGAAGTCCACATATCTTCAAGTTGCCATGGTTGAGAAACACTGGTCTTCACAGAAGGAAGGAGAGAAAGCTCAGGGCTGCATATGAACTTGAAACATGAGTTGCCCTCCTTTGCTTTAAAGGTTTACATCAGCACTGGAATTAAAGCTACAGTTAAATCTGGTAACCAGTGCAGATTATGCAAAAAAAAATACCATAGGGCACCATTTCCCAAACTGCAATTTACTATGCTATCAGAAAATTTCTTATATGAGTTAGAAATATGACTGTGAAAATTGGGCCACAACCATTCATTTGTTTTCACCTTCAAAACTCGATGGCTAAGCAAGCCCCCTTCCCCCTGCCATTGTCTTGTACCCTTCCCTGCAACTTTCACACATCGAAACTGTTCTGCCTTCAAACACCTGAAAAGTTTCTAGTCCCTTAATAATTTCTTTGTTATTCTCTGTGTCCTTCAAATCTAAACCTAAAACCAGCCTCTTTCTTCCTTCAGATCCCTTCCCCAACTAAACTAAGCCTTGCAACTGAAATACTCTCTTAAATCTTTCGCTTTCCAGGTTATACTGTACTCATTTTTAGTCACACTCCTTTAGCTCGACAGCAGATGAATTTTCACGCATTGCTAGATGTTTCCTAGCATGTTGTTTGTCCCTCTTGGTACTCTCTTACTCTTGAAGAAACACTGTGTCTCCCAGGCCTGAATTAATAATAAAAAGAAGGTTTTGAAACTGTTGGCTTGGAGATCTTGACCTCTTCTATGCTTCTGTAAGACAAATAATTACAGCAGTCAATATCTTGCTCTTACTGGTGTCAGCACAGTAGCTCCACTCAAGATCCTTGTCATAATTTCTTGTGGTAGCACACCAGAATCTCCCCCTATCCTCTTCAGTACATGTGTAGAATGTCTGGTTTTTGTAAACAAAGGGAAACACGCAGGATCTGCCTCCAGAATTGCCTCCGTGCTCTGAAAATATGGAGTATGTGGATTTGGATGGAAAGAGAGGTGAAAAAGAAATAGCTAAGAACTGCACTCGCTTATATACATCCTGTAACACTCTTTCAGTTCTTTCTCCTGTCTTTTCTATTCATCATTGTCAACTGAGTGACCTAAAAGCAAGCAAATGGTTTTAGATTTATGTAAGGGATGCTCTTTTTTTGCCTTTGAATTTTTAAAACTTTTCTGCAATGATCAGGCTCAATGATGCAATACATATGAATGGCTATGTTTTTAGTAGGATTTGTTGTTGGTCATTTGGAATGAGTAATAATAACAACAACAATAACTGGTGGAAATATATAATTGAAAAAGTAGTCAAAAATGAGTAGGTTAAAATATTGAGGGATTTCCGAATACATACTGATAAAGTCTTTGTGCATAGCACACTAGATTTAACTGTGGTTGACAAGAAGAAAGTGTGAATAATTGATATGAAAATACCAGGGCTTAGGAGAATAGAAGACAAAGCATTGGACAAGATCACAAACTATCAAGATCTGAAAACTGAAGTTGAAAGATTATGGCACAAACTGGCTGTGGTGGTCCCAGTAGTTATCGGCATAGTGGTTGTCGTACAAAAACCCTTGGACAGCACTTAGAAAATCTGCACATTGACAACATTTCCATCTGCCAGTTACAAAAGGCTTGGATCCACACATACTGTATACTACGCGATGCATTGCAACATCCTATGTTCTTGGGAAGAACTTGATGCGAATGAAGGCCAACACCAGCTAAAGAACTGGCAACTGTGATTTCACATTGTTGTGTATATATAATAATAATGTTATTAATGTTAAGTCTGTCTGGAAGCTTCTATACTTTGGGATTTTTGTACTTTTTTTTTATATTACTTCTCCTGTACCAAACAATGAGAAATTATGCTTCTGTGATTTGGCAGTTTACTGAATGTTGCCAGTGAAATCTCTGGGGTTCAAGAGGCTGTTAAAAATGGTTATACTATAAGTGGCCCACACCTGTTTCAGACAGATCATTCCACAATAAGGAAAAGAACCAAGCTTCTCAGGCTGAGAATCAGGACAGGATCAGAAGCTTTTTAAGGCCAAATCATCCTTTGTGCCTCCTGATCTCTGCTGGGTTTGGGAATTACGTGAGCCGACCATCTTTTGAGGGATGGTCTGACACATTTTACTACCTGAGATAAAACAATGGTGCTGCCTCTCCATTTATTTATAGAAGTATTACATTCCAGCAGATAATTTCTCACTTGAGTGCTGCCAGTTGAGCAACATTTTCTACCACCTCTGAGAACAGCAGACTAGCTTAGGGAACAGAGAACAGACCCCCGGCACATACTATCCCATTTTCCAACAATTTACGATGCCGCTGCTCCCTAAACCCAGCATCCACTGTCAGAGGAAGCTACTTCTATCAAACGACAGTGTTACTGCTGTTCTCTCCAGGCACATATCACAATGGCATTTCAGCATAGCAGGGATTAGGCCAACCTGATAGAGCCAGGGGATGAGAGGCTTATAACTGTGACAAACAGTAGCCCTATCTTGGTTCTGATGTTAATTCTATTAACATGGTTAACACGTCCTGCTTAGAACCCATGAGCCAATTGTTAAAAGGTTACATATCAAGCCATTGCCCAGAAAAGAAGACATTTCTAACCGAGTTCTGGATTACTCATTTCTGATGGGTTCTGGGTTACCTACCTTGAATAATGCAGTGCTTCCACTGGCCATCGGTGTCATAGTTTGCTGTGGTGCTGCACCACAGCTGCTCATCAATAGACCCATCTCTAGTGCAAGAGGAATACAACGTCCCATTAAAAACGAAAGGGAAGACACATGAGGAAAACCCTGGGAAGAAGAAAAAAATGATGATTGAAATGGGGGGACAATGTATTCTAGCCTAAGAATCACAGAACTAATATGTTTCTAAATTACGTCAAGAACTGGGAGAGGAAAGACCCAATCCTACCTCTCTTTCTGATTAATCCATTGTTGTCCAAACTTGGCCACTTTAAGATGAGTGGACTTCAACTCCAAGAACTCCCCAGCCAGCCATGCTGACTG